TGCGTGCGTGCGTGCGTGCGTGCGTGCGTGCGTGCGTGCGTGCGTGCTTGCGGACTTACGTGCAGGCGTGGGTGACGTGCGTAGGTAAGAAGATAGGTAACAAAAAATACCAATAGAGGAATGGTGAATGCAGAGTTAACAAAAATTGGAATTACTTTTGAACAGCATTGGTGAATAGTTCATCGGGTACACCGCCATTCGGAGAAAGGTTCTGCCAAAAAATGGTGTGGTTAATGTGACCACCACCATTGAATTTGATGGCTGGGCCCAGATTGATTATGGTGTCAACGTCGCCTGTTGGACATTTTTAACACATGTTAAAACATACAGTAATGATCACATTCCGTTTTAGTTTATAACACTAACCTAATTTACTATTTTCTAAAAATACAATATGCTGACATTAAATGAGATGAGATTAGAGCTACTTTCCCTTTGAAAGTAACAAAATAAAATAAAAAATATAGTAATTTAATACAGCACAGTGAAACAAATTGATAAGATTGTGACTCTTATGGAGACCGGGGGTCGATTCCAGAACCTTACGATAACTCACTAGTTGTACGATTTCTTTTAATTTTTATTCAAAACACCCGAATCGAACGCCAAACTGTCGTATTCGAAAACAAGCCGAAATGACGTCACACCTATGATTACTCGAGCTTCTCGACAAGCAAAGGCTACAAACGTTATACAGAAGACAGCACAGTTATCAAATGAAAGTTATCAAACATCCTATTGTTTACAAAGGAAGAATGTAATATGGAAATCTCTTATTATTTTAAATAAAGTCTGGATTTTGTTCAATTTTATTAATTTATTTTAATGCAAGACTAATAATGCATTCCCACATTTTAGGCCACTGAAATTTTCATTTATGTTATAATCTATTTCACTGACTAACTTCGTAAACACTGTTGGATAACGACGTCGTATCTGTATGAAACGTGTAACTCGAAAGTTCTGAATAGCTTGTTAAGCGCCCTGTGATTCGAGAATGATATCCAATCAAACGATTCGGTTAAAATATCAAAAAGTTCTGAATCGGGATCCATATAGAAGCGGTGCTGTGACGCCATTGTGGTGCTGCAGCCGCGTCACTACTAATTTTCATACAATATTTAGAAGTGCAGCTGGTAGGGACCTGTGAAATTGGCCATTTGTTTCATGTATGTACTTCAGCTGCTTGAAAATAATATTTAGCTTAGGCTGGGTGTGCACTGGCCAACCTGGATGTGGCAGCTAATACAATGTCTGACATGCATCTACAGAAAGATCTCCAATAAACTGTTGGAGAGTTCACTCAGCCAGGCTGCTAAAACCAGGTTGCCAGTATTGTAAGCCTTAATTTTCTAGAAAAATATGACAGGTAATTAAAAATATATTACAATCACTTCTGTTTTGTGAAAAGATTTCTATAGCAGAAAAACTTGTCAGTCATGACACCTTAATTTTATGTCTACCCATTATGCTGTTAATTATTATTAAATTTCTCAGCTGTACAGTGTAAACCCATTTACTGTATCGACACATATTAAGCTAGTGAACTTGTCTATGGTCCAAACCATCTTCTTCAAAATGATCCATGCTCAGCAGTGGGACAAACATACATGGTTTGATACACTGTTAAAGCAATGCAAGTAATTTATTAATTCACCTATTACTTGAAATATCAGCTATCACTTTTAAAAGATTGGTTTTTGTACAATTATATTATTGTAAACTCAGTTGTTTTTACATAAATAAAAATAAATATTAAAAAAATACCTTTACTCTGAGCACTGACAAGCTTCTTTTCAGCAACATTTAGATTGTTAACATAAGTTGCATGATGCTTAGAATGGTGCAGAATCATAATGTCCCGGCTAATAATGGGCTCCAATGCATCATACCCATAGGGAAGATCTGGTAGAGTGTGCGCCTGCCGGCATGCAGTGGTTACACGGCTGAAATAAAAAAAAAATATTTTAAAGAAAGTAACAACTGTTACTCATATTAAGACTCAAGTTTTACCCCACTGTGCCAATACACAAGTATATATTATTTATTTTGCACAATTGCATTATTAATTATTATAGATTCTAGTAAGGTATGGGCAAAGATCACCACTAATTGAATCCCACCAAAGGTAAGACGAAATGTGGGAAACTCGGAAGTGGGAAGTGTGGAAATGGAAGGAAGCAAAGTCTTGCAGTACGATAGTAATGGCTGAAAAATGCTATAGGTTCTAGTATAAGTTGGATAGGGCTCTGAACAGCCAAATGATGTACTACTTTAACAAAACTTAGTGATATAATTTGGGTTAACAAAAAATATCTACAGCCAATTCCCATGGAAAGATGGAGCTTGATGGCAACATTAAATTGTTAACACCATCTATGTGGTTATATAAGACAATATGTAGCGTAATATACTAGAATGAGGTAAATACAACACACAAAAAGTAATAACAACCTGACAAAAATATCTGTGTACCTTGACTCCCTTCCCTCTTCGTGTAACGTCACTCCGCTTTCGCCTGCTCAGAATCTTCATATCATTACCAGAGCAATTACAATAGCAATATCATTTGAGATGTTTTGGTTATTATTTTGACTTGATTTTAACAGTAATTTGACATTATAGTTGAGTTTGAAACAGGCTATAGCGTTTATGACTCAGTATTGATTATTATTGCACTACAGATGCAATTAGTATAATATATACATACAGCGTACCTATTATATATTAAACACTTTTTTAAGTTAAACCTCATTCACAGGCAAGCTTTTGGTTATTCTAGAACACCACACATTGTATTATCAAACACAAATATTGCCGTTATTTACTTAGTTATACTGCTCAAAATATGTACAAGACCAAAAAATTTGCATACTTACATGAGATTACGTATTGGACCGGTGGAGAACATTTTTACAGGGTAAAAAGTAAATAACTGCACAAAAGTATCGGCGCAAATTGACTTAAGATTGAATTATCAAGTTATCACTTATTTAGCCGGTGTTACGCAATACAAAATTGTGTCAAAAAAGTGAATCGGAAATTCGGAAATGGCGCTGATGACAGAATACCCATGTCAAGGGGATGTCAATCTGGAACGGCGCCATTGCCATTGGTTTTTTTTTCCATCCTAAAATCAGCTGACAGTTGTCAAGTTTCTTACTCTAGAATGAAAGATAAAATTTTTATGAAGAGGCTGTATGGTAAAACCCAACCCTACCCAAATGGGCGAAAATTAAAAAAAATGTTACTCAAGTAACTGGATTA